ATTAAAAGCATTAATTTCCATTATTTGTTATTAACTTCCCGTAGAATAAGTTATGGTAATCGTCCAAAAATCGAAATTGTAAAATTTTTATCTTCCCGTTTCGTATGTGCGGATACAATTTTTCGTCGACGATTTCGAGCGTACGGAAGACAGGTCCAGCCGTTTCGGAGATACGAAGCAAAGAGCGCAGAGAAAAAACGAGGTTTTGAGAGAACGTAGCATCCGATTTGAATGATTCGAAAAAGATTTAATGCGTAAAACAGGTCCAGCCGTATTGTAGATACGGAGCTAAATATACGAAAAATTGCAGTGTTTGAGAGAATGAAGAATCCGATTAGATTGGTTCGAAAAATCTTTTGCTTGTGTTGACGAAAATATTTTCTTCAAGGAAAGCAAAATAAATATTTTTTAAAATTTCTAACATTTTTTTTAATATCAAATATAATTCGGATTTGAATTATAATTTTGTTCACTCACGTTTATATAAACTTATATAAACGCCATCGTCCCTGCTCTTATATTTTGTCTTTAACACACGAATAACGAAAGTTACAGTATTCATAATAGTCTATTTGAAAACATTTAATATTCTTCGAATATTTCATTACGGTACGCGAAATTTCAGCAACTCGCCTTAAGGCACGATGCCATACACTACTAGTTTATTTATTTACTTAGACAATTATTCTCTCTAAGTCCTACTTTACTAAGTAACATGAGTAGAAAAAAATATATTCAAATATGATCTTATATCATATTTAAGTTACATAGAAAATAACTTTCCCCGTCCCGGATTAGCGTTAAAATAAATATGGTCACCTCGGTATTACGAAAACTATGCCAGCAGTCTGACTGGCTAGAAATCCGTAGAAAGAGAGAGATGTTTTTTTTTTCTTAAAAAAAAGTTGGCGTAATATTCAAACCTGAACTTGCATGTCATCTGACAACTAGACAAACGCACACAATTGCCTCGTTTCCTGCGGCCTTCGGTGTGCGACCAATTAGATTATATAACATCATAACACCGATACCTTCGCATTATGTTATAAAACAACATAGGATATATAGGTTACGATCGGCGGCGGCGGCGGTGGCAGCGGCAGTGGTGGCAGCGGAGCCGATCTGATCAGAAACGAGAAACGAGTTATCCGATACCGGCGCGATGTTTAATAAATGCGTGTTGCTCCGCAAGAATTTTGTTCATGAATATTATTCGCAAATGATCGGTTCTTTCCATGCGAATTCTGATATGTATGGAATCACAAGGTTTTTCATATTTAAATTATTCATTATCGCTTCTTTACGTTCTTCTGATCGAATTTATTTATGCTTGAATTATACATGTATAAATGCTTAAACGCGCATGTCAAATGTACCATGTGCCATATTGTTCATAATATATTGCATACATAATATATATATATATATATATATATATCTTGATGATATATATATATATATATATGCATATACAAATAAAGAATAATTTTCAGTCTAGATAGCTATTATTATTTATTATTTTCTTTTTCTAAACTCAAGACCTTCTTTTTTATATAAATATAATTTATTTAATCCGTCATTTATGAAAATTTTCAACGTTTCGAGGATGTGCGAAATTTGATTTTATTTGAACACCGATCGGAACTTATGGGTCCTATGAGCTGTTGTGATGAATTTCTGACAAACTACGTTTATTTTTTATTATAGATGGCAACCCAAATAGTTGTCTCACCTCTATTTGATGAATTTTATTACTACAATTATTGTAATAGTGATGACTTTTAATTGGTGCAGCAATGCCGTATCAGGGAACTTGAAAACATATTGCTATCTATATTTCCAAGTGAAAACCGTTGTCACTACTGCTTGACAACAGGCTGATCCAAGTCCAGTCGTTCTACCCACTTACCTACGAACGAACCCCATTTGAATGATTGAAATCAAACTTTTCTTAAAATGTAAATCTTATGTGCAACGACGGTAACTAATATCAAGAGTTTTTCAATATGATCTGTAACGATATTACAATATTATTTGTCTCTATTGGACTTGTAAACCGTCCTACACAATATTGCCATAGTTACTGTCCCGCAGGTCAACGCAATAAACAGAACTGTGTAGGTCCGTCATTTTTGACAGGTAATATAAAATTGTACTATCTTAAAATTTCGGTTTGTATTGTTATAATCGACTAATTTTAAATTTTATATATTTTATTTAGTTTCAAATTTACCAAAGTTTGATAATGTGTAACAATTTTTGCTAAATTGTATAAATAGTTATTTTAATTTATGTGAAAAAATCACACCAGGAGTTAGTTGGAACAATACCTTGGAGCCAGTTGTACCATACAAAAATTACATACAGATTCAAGTTGAGATGATTGAACTGAATACATAGCATTTTGACAACTTTTAGTGCTATTTTATATGAAAAAGGCTACGTAACATAGCTTTGCCATAACATTAGTCTATTTTACAGCAGAATCGGCCCATATATGTCTAGTTAATCTTTTAATTGATTTATAGTCTTTGAATATTTTATATATATGAAAAATAAATATATATATATATATATATATATATATATATATATATATATATACTCGTATATATATATATATTCTTGATATGTATAAAAGTAATGGACTTACTGCAAACGAGCATATAGATGTATTATATATGTATTAGATGCAATCCAAGTAATGATTACGTGCCTACCTATATGATTTGCAAATGCTTCAATATGCAAAACAGAAAAATGGTCTAGCAAAATTATATCCACAGTTCTTTTGCATATTAAACTAGCTATTTAGTCGAAAAGTTATTTTTATGGTAATCATATGGTAAATTAGCGATGTCTAATCTCGATCTCAATAAAAAGCGCATAACATTTTACGAGCGAGCTAAACGCAAAACATCGAATCTAAATGTTATTTAATCTTTAATCGATTATCAAAGTATCGTTTGTTGAGAAATTTTACGCATTACATTAGAAACATTCATATACTCATTTATATAAAATATTAAATATTAATATAAAAAATATTTTATATTTTTTAAATAATTTATAATACCCAACACCGAAAAAAATTAAAAATGTTCAAAATTACAAAAGTTTTCTAAATTTCCAACATTTTTCTAAAGTTTCAAAAAATTTTAAATTTTCAAATTGCTTAAATAATAAAATAGATAATTAAATTAAAATACAAAAAAATAATTAAAATATTTGAAAACATAAAAAATTATGATTCAGCAATTTGCATTAGGGCACAATGCAATACAACAATTTAAATATTACTATTGTTAATATCATTGATCAAATATAAGTAAATTGTTTGAATAAACGGTTAATTGCATTACTCATTATGATAATTATTCAAATATTATTGTTGATGAGATTTACATTCACGTATTTCATTCTGTAATTCGACCTTTGAATTGTGACCTAATCACCCAAAAACGCTATGTAATCTTTATTTTATAAATAATCGTGATAAAATAAAACATATCAACCTAATGATTAGAATACACAAAATTAGGAATTAACATGACAATATGATGTTTTATATTGTGCGCAGAAACAGTTAAATTTAAAGGCACACGAAAATATCTATTGAATATTTAATTAAATTTTATTACAGATAATTTTATATAAATTATTATAGTTTTCAGTCAAAAATGTAAAAGTAACGCTTATATTTTGTTATAGTTCAGATACAATTTAGCATATTTACTATCAAGCTTTTTTCAGATGCGAATAATTAATAACGAATAGAAGTAAATTTAATTGGTCCTTTAAAACTCTAAAAGAAATGTACAAGAGGTTGGAGCTATATGTAATAGGGGTAACTAGTAACAGGCGTTTTCCAATTGGATCTTAAACGATATTAAAATATTTTTTTGTCTCGATTGGATATTTAAACCGTCCTACATATTATTGTCATTTTATTTGTATTATGATAATAATTGTAGTTTACGTTGATTTATAAAAAAAATATATTATGAGATGCAATATATATTTTAATCGTATTAATTATAGTTTGCGTTGATTTGTGAAAAATAAATACTCAGACACAAGTCAATTTTCTTGAAATTAAGAAAAAAATAAATTATCAGAAGTATTATTATCATTTTTTGACGTTACTACTGGACTTGGTATACATTACAACTAGCCTCGGACACGGAGTAAGTTGTGATACTGCACTTTTTCTAGAAAATGATTAATTGTGAAATAATGAACAACCGCTGTGGAATTATTTTTACTTAATTGGGCAGAGAAATACCTACAGAAAGTATCCATATTTATTTTATGGAAATATAATCAGTAGTTCTCAAAATGTATCAATTTAAAGAAAAACTATTACAACCATCCCTTAGCTGCCCTATTTAAGTAAGAAACTAGAGTTCTAATCCAAGTTTCATATGACTTAAAAAACTGTTACAAACAGCCCCTAGCTTTCAAATTTCAGTTTTCACAGCATCGATTTAAATCGCGATTGCCATTTCGTGCACTCTATTCTATATAGAACTACGGTGATTATATTCCACTTATTACAAATCGCTATATATACAAAGAAAACTCTTTGAGAAGTAACTGACAAACCAAATTTAAGATTTTTTTTAAATTATAATCTGTCACACTTAGGGCATTCAGTAATTGTTTTGACTTTTTTATTATATGAATCTTAAATGGATGGAAACCCAGCAGTTGTCCAGTCCAGTTATGACTAATTATCTATACTCGAAGTATTTGCTGACATCTTTATTATATATGCAACTATACCCACTAGAGGCGATTTTCACTTGAGGCTATATTTGAGATCTATAACCTCAAGTGGAAATTTGACATCAAAGTTGCCTGATATCAGGCTTGGCGGTAGCGGGAATCGAACCAGCCAACCTGGGACTAGTCTCTGCTAGCCCAAATTTAAGACAATACTATAAAAGGGTCCTAATAAGTTAATAGAAAGGGTCTATTAATAATATGTTTTCACTGACCTTTTAGTTGTGGCCGTTTGTACTCATTGTCCTGCTTCTGCAATTTCTTCTGTGCCTCGATGGCACGCATGTTGAGCGGCGGCGGAACTCGGTTGCCCTTCAACGTCTTCGGGAAGCAGAACATCGCCAGCGATGTCAGGCCCATCAATGTTGACACTAGCAGCAGACCTATTGGAAATAGAAAATTAGTGGTATATTGCGTTGAATGAAAATCAGTGGTATATTGCATGAAAATTGTCAGACTTCCTCCATTACGAAATAGTAGATATTTATAATATATTATTTGAAAAAGTATTATTCTTATAATTTTACTATTATCTTATTATTATAATTAAATCTTTATTGAAAATTCTTTATTTGAAAAATTTAAAGTTTTAAACATATTAGTTGGTGTCAAATAATATTACATAAATGATACCAGTAGTTTTTAGAGGAGTTCTTAAGGTATACAATTTATGGTGAATATTTAGTGGTATATTGGCACTTATATTGCGTGACCTGAATCTAATTGTTTGGTTTACGTTACTTAATTGTTTTGTAAGATGTATCGTTATTTTTAAGTTAAATTCAACAGTTTTTTTATATAACCTCTATAAATGTGAGCGGTGTAAAAAGGATCAACTAAAACTTTACATTGGCAAAGATGTAAGCATAAGAAACAATAAATAAACAAGTAAATTAAGTTTAAACAATAATTTTACAAAATATGATTTAAATTAAAAGTTATTCGTCCTCTGCTGATGAATAGTTTTTTCTAAATATCAGATCAAAGTTACTAAAACAATAAAATCTTTATAAAAAATGCTTAAATGACATTTGTATTTCACATTGGTAAGATAATCTAGCTATTGTTTTGAAAAGTCCCTTTAAAATTAAAAAAAGACGTTGACAAAAAAGGACAGGTGACGAATTTAAAACAAAAATGCAAAAAAACGTATTTGTATAAATATGTGTTAACTGGGAATTTTACTGAACACAGTTCGATAATTGTTGTCTCAGTATACTCAGTTACATGTTAATTAGTTCATCTAGTTTAAACAGTATAAATACTGTAAGTCAAATTGGAACTTTGTGCCCTATCCTCTTTTAAAAATAATTTGGATGATTTTTAAATGAATAAATAAAGAGCCATTAATAGTCTTGCGGCTTTAATATAAAATAGCTTGTGTGCCTTAAGTTGGGTAAGAATCAATCGTTTTAAATCCCTGAACAATTTTTTTCATTTGCAAAGTTAAAATTGGTTGTTGCGATTACGAAAACGCAAATTTCAGAAAGTATAGTGTTGCTCTATAAATATGTTACAATTTTGTGATAGCAGAAATATGGACAAATTAAAAACAAACAAATTAATAACAAACATATAAGTAAAATAAAGTAAATTATCTTTTGATATTTAAAAACAAAATTGAAAACCACTTTACACTATCATTCTGAACCCAACGATCTCTTCACTGCCATCACAAATCGATGATTTTCGACTGTTTATTGACACTTTAAATAAGTTACCTTACGAATAGTTTAGCTTTAGATATAATTAAGACTTCACTTATTATAGATAATGTCAAATTTAGGCTACACTGAATCAGAAGTAAATAATCAGAATAAAACCCAAATGCATAGATATATCTATTACTGTAATTGAACTTAATGTCTGAGATTAATATGTCAGCCAGCTTATGCTAACTGAGAGACCATCAGTTAATTACAAGAGATTAAAGAAAATCTTACAGTCGTTGAATTATAGAAAATATATAATAATGAAAACTCCAGAAAAATCAAAATATAGTAATCAAAGCTTGTAAATAAAATCGCTTTTAAAGTTAGATGTAAATTATAAAAAAGTAACAATTGTTCATTTTTACAGAACATATTGATGCATTCAGTAACTTCTGATTGAGCTCGCTCGTAGGTAAATAGCTAGACCCGTATCAGAAGTACCGGGTTCGATCCCGCTTCGAGGAGCCTGTTGACAAGCAGTAGTGGCAACGGCTTTTACTTGGAAATATAAACAGCAATATGTTCCCAAGTAAGCAGCCCTGATCCGGCATTGCTGCCTTAATAAAAAGGCATCCGTATTATAAATATTGTAATAATAAAAATTTATCACAAAGAGACGCGACAACAGTTTGGGTTACCATGTATAAAAATATCAACGTAGTTATTAAGTATTAGTTGTTAGTTAGTAATAGTAGTTAGTAAGTATTAGTAATTAGTAAAATAGTCATCAAAACAGCTCATAGAACCCTCAAGTTCTGATCGCTGTGAAAACAACAACGGAAAAGTAACCTCTGATGCCATCGTCAAATTTAATTCAATTGAATTATTTCGATAACCACTAGTGACGGTTTATAATATTTGCATATTGCACATGATATCTATTTGGCATGGTCCGAAATGAAGCCGGCTGAGGCATCACTTAAAAGTTACGTCAACGTACTTCCCGCCGTCTAATTCACGGTCAAACTAGTTAACGTCGCGAGACAAATCTGTATCAGCGGGAACACACCGCGTGTCCATATTTATGAACTCTAGTAGTCTCGACATGGACTTACTTACTTATATTGTGATGGCTCTCGTTTTGATTACCGAATTGATTTGACCCCATGACCGACCACTAGACTGACTTAAATTTGAATTCGGCGCAGAAATGTACGTGGAAATTGTCAATTAACTATTACGTCAACTAATACGCTTTGCAATGAGTGGTTTTCTAATACCTGCATAATATAGAAATATTGTCTGCAGGACTCCAATAATAGATAATAAAATTACCAATACTTTCTTATATGACTTAAAATATTAAATTTAATTTATTTTCGGCGTTAGAATAAGATAGAGCGGGGCTTAAAAAGTCCACCACCGATATCTCAAAAACAAGTAAAGTTAAGAATTTTTCAACAACAATATTTGAAAGTAGAGAGAAAAAGATATATAACTAGCCATCACCTTGATTCTTACGACGATGCTACGGCAATGTTTAAAAATCTATAACAAAAGTATTTTCTTTCGCTGTTAGTTTTTTTTTTTGTTGTGAGCACTGTTGATTATTTTACGAGACCTTAATATATTTTTTAAGTGAACGTTATTTAATTGTTTTATTAGATGTATTGTTAATTTTGAGTTAGATTCAAATGTTTTTCTTATATAATCTCTATAAAAGCTTACACATGGAATAAAAAGAACTAACTGAATCTTTATCCTGGCAAAAATGTAAATAAAAACTAGTAAATAAGAAAGTTAAGAAACAGTTTTACAAAAGATAAATTAAATAAATAGTTATTCCACCTCTGAAGATGAATATTTCTGACGAAATACCAGATCAAGCTGTACTTTATATAAATGGAGTATTATGTGAAAAAACTACCCCTGAAATTTATATTTCGCATTGGTTGAATAATGTAGCTATTAAAACGTAAAATCCCTTCAAAATTAAAAATAAGACATTTCACATGTTTGCCACCTGGCCGTATAATTTTCCCCGCCTATGGGGTAAAAAGAAAAAGGTAACAAATTTTTGAAAAAACACATTTCTAGAATGATAGATTGGAAGATACTGAACATAGTCAGATAGTTGTTTGTTTGATATGTGTTATTTGATGTGATATAATTTTGCTTTTCACAATATAATTGCTAAAAATCAAATTGGACCATTGTGCTCTGCCCTACCCTATATTTGAAAATATATAGGGCTTACATCAAGCTGTTTTCCATTCCTTCCATTTAAGAAAAATCTTGTGTATAATTTTAATTTTTCGACAAATTTTTTGATAACTTTAAGGATTTTGATGATATTTCTTTCGACAATATATGCCAGTTCAGAATGTTTCAGATTACTTTTTAGTAATTTAAACATACCTTTATTAATTTTTTTTATTAAAATATGAATTTTCGATTGCCGATTTAAATTATTTCAATTAGATATTTGAAATTTTATATATACAAAAATACTAATAATTATTATGGCTAGCGTTAACAAATACCGTCATTGAAGAAAATATTCTAATTTTAAGTTGTAAAAGGTCTTACATATTACTATGACTATGCAATAAAGTCTCGATACTAATAAAATTCCAGTTATAAATGGAAACAAATAGTGATATTAGATTTACAACAGTTGATAAATTATATCAGTACTGCGCCCTATAAACATTTATTTTTCACAAATATATGCATATTATTTATATGTACCTATATATTCTTATATAACTCACATAAAAATAACTTAATAATATATATACTCATAATACTCTATTATACTTTTATACTCTAATATTCATAATCTACCCATTTGATTTAAATGTAAAACATAATTATCATAAATAAGGGGTTAAATTATGGTTCTGAATAAAATGAAATAAAATTATATATTTGTTGAATAATGTATTCTTGAAATTACATATGATATAAGCATTTTATATTTATATCGCGTTATATTTGTGCATTAATTTATATGTTGTGTATAATTTTAAGTTAATACAAAATCGATGACATATATTCTGCGATTCGAAGAAAAGTTTATTCTAGTATAATAAAATTTTACTTAAATGATGTAATTTGTGCGTAAAGTAAAATGAATTGTTATAAATATCTCGTTTAGAGTGCAATAACGAGTTGTGAAGTAAGCGAGCCTGGGTACGGTTGTGTCACATTTTTTTGATCAGCAATAATTTTGTAAATTTAACAGTTAACAGGAATAAAAAAATTAAACGGTAATTTGAACGTACAAATACTGAAATACTGTCCTTAAATATGGTGGATTAGTCACAGAATCAAATAATACAAGGAAAAGGCGAATGTCACAACCATCCACACCCCATGGACGGCAGTGATAGGCATAAAAATAGGTTAAAAAACAATATTTATAAACACCGAAATGGTTTATAACAATTTTTATTGTAAGCAATATATAACACAATGCAATATAATCATTTATTTTTATAATCAATATAACAATATATAATAAAGCATGATTTTTTAAACAAAGTTTAAAAAAAATCTGTGTGAAATCTTTCCCTTTCCCTTTTCCCTTCCTTTTTCGTATTTTGTCTCATTAGATAAGTCATATTTTTCTTTATCTTTTATATATTTCTAAACGTTACTTGTTTATCTGTTTAATCTTTACCCGAAAAGAACAAGACCAACAATCACATGTCACAACCGTACCCAAC